GTGTTATGTGTACATCATTAATAGTAGCCAACATGTGTTATATGTACATTATTAATGGTAGCCAACATGTGTTATGTGTACATCATTAATAGTAGCCAACATGTGTTATGTGTACATTATTAATGGTAGCCAACATGTGTTATGTGTACATCATTAATAGTAGCCAACATGTGTTATGTGTACATCATTAATGGTAGCCAACATGTGTTATGTGTACATCATTAATGGTAGCTAACATGTGTTATGTGTACAGGCTGTTCAGTTATGGATGAAGACAGTAGTTCTAGTGTTATCTGGCATTTAATAATTCATGATATATTGTTGAACCATACTTGCATTTTGACTTGCTGGTGTTATTATATCCATGCATTAACTGTTAAGATAACTTATATAAACTGTGATATCATTTTAGTTTTCATATTCACGATATTTTAATTTAATGGTTGGCAGCCATTCATTCTGACAACTGTAAAGATAACAATAAGATGCTCTCAATGATTACATCCAGAAATTGGCAACAACAAATGTATGAGTTGATGATAAGCACCATACAAATAATTTATGAGAAATAGTGATGTCATCACAGATTTCAAAAAAGAAAATCTGTTGTATAAGTTGATAAGGGGTACCACTCCCACTGAAGACGATATTTCATTTTAGTAAAGAAACTTGTACATGTACATATTGGAGATACATTGGACACATATCTCCATTTCCTTTCATTCTTATTAAAAAAACTTTCTTTTTATTTTTATTTTTACAAATCTTTCAAATGAACCCTTTTGATTTTAAAGTCAACTTTTCTCAATTTTCTCAATTTTTTTTTTTTTGATCAAAGTTGTAGAAAAATATATCCAATAATCAAAATTAAGGGTTAACATGCTTTTACAATATTCAGACATGATTTTTAATGTTCTCTAAGCTACCTATTTTTGATGTGTCCTTCATGGTAATGAATGTATGGAAACAAGAATAATCACCTTTTTAGCTCCGCTGTCGACTTTGTCGAGCGGAGCTTATCATATGAGTGATTGTCCGTCATCGTCCGTGTCAATGTTTTACTTTTTCGACTTCTTCTTGAAAACTACAAGCCTGAATGCTTTGATACTTGGTGTATATGTACCTTGGGTAGACCTCTCTCAGATTTGTTCATTTCATGATCATATCTTCAACTCTCTAATTTTGGTGAATATTTTTGGTAAAAAGTGATTTTTTTGACTTTTTAAAAACCGCAAATCCAATTTCTTTGATATTACATATATAGGTACTACATGTGGACCTCTCTCAGATTTGTTCATTTTGTAATGATATCTTTCATTTTCTAATTTTGCTGAATATTTTTGTCATTTTTGGTAAAAAGTGATATTTTCGACTTCTTGTTAAAAACCGCAAGTCCAATTGCTTTGATACTACATATATAGGTATTACATGTGGACCTCTCTCAGATTTGTTCATTTCGTGATGATATCTTCAATTCTCTAATTTTGGTGAATATTTTTGTAATTTTTGGTAAAAAGTTGTATTTTCGACTTCTTGTTAAAAACCGCAAGTCCAATTGCTTTGATATTACATATATAGGTACTACATGTGGACCTCTCTCAGATTTGTTCATTTTGTGATGATATCTTCAATTCTCTAATTTTGGTGAATATTTTTGTAATTTTTGGTAGAAAGTGATATTTTCGACTTCTTGTTAAAAACTGTAAGTCCGATTGCTTTGATACTATATATATTATTCATTGTCTAATGATGTCTTCAGTTCTTTAATTGAAATGTGCATTGCTAACAGCGGAGCTATCTCAGCCGATAGGCTGCTTGTCTTTTCATTTAGTGAAAATATGATGAAAAAAGAAATAAAATGATACAGTAATTTTCGGCCATAATTCAAAAAAAAAAGTGAAAACCAGGATGCTATAAAAAGCAAAACCTAATTTATCATCAACATAAAAGATGAGTTCTGTATTTTTTATTAACGCCATGCAAGGTGATGGGATTAGAGCTGACTGAATCACACAACATTGATGTCATCAATATATATTACTACCGGTATTAACAATAAAATTACCCGTCATAGTTAGATTGGAAAGTTTGATGCCTTATTGATGTTATTATTAATAAATGTACATGTATATACTTGAGTTTCTTCGTGCACCGAATGCATCAGCCTTTAAACCAAAACACCATACATTAGGATTACCGGTGAAAAATATAATATAATATAAATTTGTGTTTGCACCGATGTATTTGGCATTACCAATGAAAAATCACTTTTATTTATTACTACTAAAATAGTCAATTTTGTCACCAATTGGTTAAGATAAATTTCAAGGAGTGGTTATTGTTGAAAATTTTATAGTCGTTGCACGAACATTCTGATTTTCTCGCAGCGAACACAATGTATTTACATGCACCGTAGATGTATATATGTATATAACCTAAAAGCAAATCCATATAGAACATGACATAATGACGTGATTTTTCATGTAATAAGCTACAGAAAAAAAAATTAAACATCAGAAAAACTTGTCTGATTTGTTTGAGTGTTTGTAAAACTGCTCAGTGAAGGCTTTATTTCTCCTCTGTACTGATTTAACATTTGGTGTGCAACTATACTCAGTCATGAAGTGCACTTTTTAACTCTATTCAATATGGCTGTTTAATAATGTAAAATGTTTTCATGGTGACCTTTTAGTCCTTGTAAAATAATTGATAAACTGAATGTGCATGTTGAACTTTTAATGTACACATGTAAATAGTTTTCATAATTTGAGGAAAAAAAATCAATGAAATCTAATTTTAATATAGAATAATGAATTTGTAATGTGCTGGTCTTATCAAAGACACTAGAAAACGTCTTATCTGGTGTTATCTGCTGCCCAATGTATATACATTTGTACAGTCCCAGCCACTATGATATACATTGCCTAATATTATCTTGTGATATACAAGTACATTTAATAATATTATCTTCTTTCTGTTTGTCAAATGCTCAACACATATAATAGCACCTACAATGTATAATCAACATTCATCAACACACATAAGACTAGTATTTTTAATTATCAGATCCCATGACGACCATTTTTTTTAGAAGACGGCATTCAGATTGACATATATAAAATGAATTGTAATATTTCGTGATGTAATAAAAATAAATACGTATTATGAGTAACTTAGATTTTATAATTGGTTTATTTTATAGATTTGGTATTAATTTGATTAAATACAGAATTTTTCCTGTACCTGTCACAAATCAATTGGTATCAGGAAAGATTCAAACTATGTGCTGGGAAGATAATTCAACGTGCTAGGGAGACAAATATATAGGCCTTGTCAATTTTACATCTAGGAAAAGAATTATTCTGTGATTTTTTTTGGTCTGATGAATTTAAAAAATCGGTTGTATCTAAATGTTGTTTAACATCTTGGCCAAGTTTGAAGTGGACGTGTCACGCTTTGTATGGCTAATATGGCGTTTTCTGTTATTGTCATCTTGTGTTATTGTTGAAATCGATTGCATAAACAAGATAATCTAAGGTCGTAGCATTGTAGTAGAATCAAACTTCGCATGAGATTTTACGAACGCAAAATGTTTGTTTTTCTGTACTTAATAATGTGCTCTACACATTTGATGATGGTCAGTTGGCAAATCAACGCCATATTTCCTTCTAAAAGATCAGTGTTCTGACATTGAACTATAAAATAAGAAATTCAAGTTGTCATTGTCACCTTGAATAAAATCAAGGTACCTCGGTAGTTTGACCATTTTTAGCTCCGCTGTCGACTTTGTCGAGCGGAGCTTATCATATGAGTGATTGTCCGTCGTCGTCCGTGTCAATGTTTTTCGACTTCTTCTTGAAAACTACAAGCCTGAATGCTTTGAAGTATCAATACTTGGTGTATATGTACCTTGGGTAGACCTCTCTTAGGTTTGTTCATTTCATGTTGATATCTTCAATTCTCTAATTTTGGTGAATATTTTTGTAATTTTTGGTAAAAAGTGAAATTTTGACTTCTTGTTAAAAACGAAAAGTTCAATTGCTTTGATATTACACATATAGATACTACATGTAGACCTTTCTCAGATTTGTTCATTTCGTGATGATATCTTCAATTCTCTAATTTTGGTGAATATTTTGGTCATTTTTGATAGAAAGTGATATTTTCCACTTCTTGTTAAAAACTGTAAGTCCGATTGCTTTGATACTATACATATTGTTCATTTTCTAATGATGTCTTCAGTTCTTTAATTGAAATGTGCATTGCTAACAGTGGAGCTATCTCAGCCGATAGGCTGCTTGTTTTATATAGCTGTATGTGGTAGAGAAATATAATTCAATTTTCAATTTAACAGAAAAACTATTATCTGTATGAAACTCGCCATTGAAATCTCTCGCATATTGAGACATTTGATTGCTTGGAAATTATTCAGTGACCCGAAATTTTTGAAAAATATTATATTTCATGATAGCATGTAACCATGTCATTGAAACTGTTTCAGTTCGTTATGATCCACCCTGAATGTACTCATATTACTGTCTGAGTGCTCCCTATACCAATGGTTGGTAATTTGTATTCATTTCATGATTTCCCTTCATCTGTGGTTTCTTCCTACTCTGTTTTCATCATTTATATCCCTTTTATAACTTTCAAGATATTGATTGCATCCTTGTGCCTCTTAGACAGCATGGACAGACTGTCTGGCACCAACCATTTTCCATATGGGGGGATATAGTTTGTTAAATCAGGGTTTGTGCATGCAAGCAGCTAATCTACCTAATATCATTTTGTTGTACATGAATTATTCATTTTCTTTTTTTTTCTTTTTCTCAACACGTCATATTACAAAATATAGAATGTAACAGTTAATCATCAACCAAATATGTACTGCTCAAGTGTTGCATGTGTACCGGTCACTGCACGTGTACCGGTCACTGCACCTGTACCGGTCACTGCACCTGTACCGGTCACTGCACCTGTACCGGTCACTGCACCTGTACCGGTCACTGCTACTGGTCACCACAACTATTCTGGTCACTGCATGTGTACCGGTCACTGCACGTGTACCGGTCACTGCACCTGTACCGGCCACTGCACCTGTACCGGCCACTGCACCTGTACCGGCCACTGCACCTGTACCGGCCACTGCACCTGTACCGGCCACTGCACCTGTACCGGCCACTGCACCTGTACCGGTCACTGCACCTGTACCTGTCACTGTACCTGTACTGGTCACTGCATCTGTACTGGTCACTGCATCTGTACCTGTCACTGCATCTGTACCTGTCACTGTATCTGTACCTGTCACTGTACCTGTACCGGTGACTGCACCTGCACCTGTACCGGTGACTGCACCTGCACCTGTACCGGTGACTGCACCTGTACCGGTCACTGCACCTGTACTGGTCACTGTACCGGTTACTGCACATGTACCGGTCACTGCACGTGTACCGGTCACTGTACATGTACCGGTCACTGCACCTGTCACTGCACCTGTTACGGTCACTGCACCTGTTACGGTCACTGCACCTGTACCGGTCACTGCACCTGTTACGGTCACTGCACCTGTACCGGTCACTGCACCTGTACCGGTCACTGCACCTGTACCGGTCACTGCACGTGTACCGGTCACTGCACGTGTACCGGTCACTGCACGTGTACCGGTCACTGTACATGTACCGGTCACTGCACCTGTACCGGTCACTGCACCTGTCACTGCACGTGTACCGGTCACTGCACCTGTACCGGTCACTGCACCTGTACCGGTCACTGCACCTGTACCGGTCACTGCTACTGGTCACCACAACTATTCTGGTCACTGCATGTGTACCGGTCACTGCACGTGTACCGGTCACTGCACGTGTACCGGCCACTGCACGTGTACCGGCCACTGCACCTGTACCGGCCACTGCACCTGTACCGGCCACTGCACCTGTACCGGCCACTGCACCTGTACCGGCCACTGCACCTGTACCGGCCACTGCACCTGTACCGGCCACTGCACCTGTACCGGCCACTGCACCTGTACCGGCCACTGCACCTGTACCGGCCACTGCACCTGTACCGGCCACTGCACCTGTACCTGTCACTGTACCTGTACTGGTCACTGCATCTGTACTGGTCACTGCATCTGTACCTGTCACTGCATCTGTACCTGTCACTGCATCTGTACCTGTCACTGTACCTGTACCTGTACTGGTCACTGCATCTGTCACTGCACCTGTACCGGTGACTGCACCTGTACCGGTGACTGCACCTGTACCGGTGACTGCACCTGTACCGGTGACTGCACCTGTACCGGTGACTGCACCTGTACCGGTCACTGCTACTGGTCACCACAACTATTCTGGTCACTGTATGTGTATCGGTCACTGCACCTGTACTGGTCACTGTACCGGTCACTGCACGTGTACCGGTCACTGCACATGTACCGGTCACTGCACATGTACCGGTCACTGCACGTGTACCGGTCACTGTACATGTACCGGTCACTGCACCTGTACCGGTCACTGCACCTGTACCGGTCACTGCACCTGTACCGGTCACTGCACCTGTACCGGTCACTGCACCTGTACCGGTCACTGCACCTGTACCGGTCACTGCACCTGTACCGGTCACTGCACCTGTACCGGTCACTGCACCTGTACCGGTCACTGCACCTGTATCGGTCACTGCACCTGTACCGGTCACTGCACCTGTACCGGTCACTGCACCTGTACCGGTCACTGCACCTGTACCGGTCACTGCACCTGTACCAGTCACTGCTACTGGTCACCACAACTATTCTGGTCACTGTATGTGTATCGGTCACTGCACCTGTACTGGTCACTGTACCGGTTACTGCACATGTACCGGTCACTGCACGTGTACCGGTCACTGCACGTGTACCGGTCACTGCACATGTACCGGTCACTGCACCTGTACCGGTCACTGCACCTGTACCGGTCACTGCACCTGTACCGGTCACTGCACCTGTACCGGTCACTGCACCTGTACCGGTCACTGCACCTGTACCGGTTACTGCACCTGTACCGGTCACTGCACCTGCACCTGCACCTGCACCGGTCACTGCACCTGCACCTGCACCGGTCACTGCACCTGCACCGGTCACTGCACCTGCACCGGTGACTGCACCTGCACCGGTGACTGCACCTGCACCGGTGACTGCACCTGCACCGGTGACTGCACCTGCACCGGTCACTGCACCTGCACCGGTCACTGCACCTGCACCGGTCACTGCACCTGCACCGGTCACTGCACCTGCACCGGTCACTGCACCTGCACCGGTCACTGCACCTGACCGGTCACTGCACCTGACCGGTCACTGCACCTGCACCGGTCACTGCACCTGCACCGGTCACTGCACCTGCACCGGTCACTGCTACTGGTCACCACAACTATTCTGGTCACTGTATGTGTATCGGTCACTGCACCTGTACTGGTCACTGCACGTGTATTGGTCACTGCACATGTACCGGTCACTGCACATGTACCGGTCACTGCACCTGTCACTGCACCTGTTATAGTCACTGCACCTGTACCGGTCACTGCACCTGTCACTGCACGTGTACCGGTCACTGCACGTGTACCGGTCACTGCACGTGTACCGGTCACTGCACCTGTACCGGTCACTGCACCTGTACCGGTCACTGCACCTGTACCGGTCACTGCACCTGTACCGGTCACCACAACTATACTGGTCACCACAACTATACTGGTCACTGCATGTGTACCGGCCACTGCAGTTATAATGCTCACAACAATGGACTAGTCACTGTGGCTTCCTACTGGTCAGATCTCCTTGTATTCCACCTCAGATTTTTTTTCATCTGTAGCGTGTAGATATTAATAATTTTGTTTGTATATTGAACACACCAATTTGACTTTCAATACCCTACTTGGTCTTATCCCTAGGAATAAATGTATTAAAATAAAATGAATCATTATTAACTCCCAGGTAAAACTCTTCAATAAATCAAATTTGTATTTATACAATGTTTAGTGTTTCAGTGCAATATTTTTACTTATAATGTGATGGTCTGTCTATCCATCCATCCGTGCATATTGAACCACAATATCTGTAACTATGATTGATTATGCCGTTTTGTTTAACAGCTTCTAATATAGCAAGCATTATGCAGGAGCACAACTCTATTTTATTATAAGAGTACTTATTCAGTCACAGCTTGTGTATCGGGTTTGAAGGGTAAATGTCATCCAGGCTTGTACAACATTTTAATAAGGATAGTCATAAGATTGATACCTTCTTTAGTATCTCATTATTCTGTGGATTTCTTACAATATATTGTGTACATATATGTAATTATTAAAAAAAAATAACTCTAGTCTATATTGGAGCAATCATAATGTATACCATATTAGTAATATTAGAAATCACATGCACTTATGTACTTGACCTGTTTGGTACAGGCATCACTGTTAATGACGATTGAAACTCTGATGCAATGCAACGCTAGCAAGTATGAGAGAATACAATAGGCTGAATGGTGTGATACATGTGTTCCAGAGCATGAGAGTCAAATCAGAATGCTTTACATAGGAAGAAGTGAAAGGCGATGCAATATGTGCATTTCCCCCTTTGCTATAAATAACGTATATTACTTTTATTTGTAGTAAATATCTTCAATGCCTACAATAGAATTTTCTGCCTTTATTTTCTCAGTGTTGTATTTTATTATTACCATATCAATGCATCGGGAATGTTCTCATGTTTCATTCCCAGTTGTGATTCTATTTTCCCAAATTGGGAAACTGATTACTGTAAAATACTTTATTTTTGCTTGAAATAATGAAGGAATGATTCCGTGAAAATAAAATCCAGCAAATATACCTTTTTTCCTATATTTTACATTCAACTTGTCAAAAATCAGTGAAAATAAATTCCTTACAAAACACCCAAAATGTCTTTTCAACGAAAATTAATTGCAGCTAAAATAAAGTATTCTGCAGTACATGTGCATTTCAACCTTTTCAAGTAATTATTTTCCTTCCAGTTGAATAACCTACCTACATGTACAGTGGTACAGAATCTTTACTTGATTTCTATTTTGTTATTTTACAGTTGCGGTGAGGTGGTAAAACTGCCGCCATGGCAACCGAGCCCGAGAAGCTGGAGAACAGGTTTGGGATAACCACCAATGAGCTGAGGCATCTTATGGAAGTAAGAAGTCGTGAAGGCTTAGAATACATTAAAGATACATATGGAGATATTTATAAACTTTGTGATAAATTACAGACGTCAACAACAGATGGTAAGATGATCTGTGTATTCTCTTTTAGTTTTGATAACGCAGTTTTTATCATTTGAACAAAATCAGAGATTGATGATGACAAAGCAAGATTAAATAAATATTGTAAATATTCTTTTTGTAGCATATTTCGCTGTTTTGACTCAATTTTTGTTGGAAAAACAACGTGTTTTAGATATTTTAAGTTTAAACTTTACTTTTTGTCGCTTTTTGTCTGGTGACCGTTTATGCGTTTCAGTCCTGAAATTTGAATGTGAAAATGTGCTATAGCTACACTGTAGGTATTTTTATAAACACCAGGAAACATGTTAGAATGATAACTGCCCAAAACTCAACTGAAAATCACTCACCTGAAAATACATATAATATGAGGTTATTACGAAGATACCTCAAAGTATGCACGAAGACAGTACAGCGGCAGTATCGGCCGACGCGCAGCGGATGTCTATGCGACAGCGTACTGTCTGAGTGCATACTTTGAGGTAACTTCGTAATAACCTTATTATTATACATCTTTTTCCTACCAAGGATACATCATGGGAATACCGAAATCTAAAAAGTTTAGAACAAATCAGCGAACTTCTTTGTATGGAGTCCGGTTAAATTCTGTG